ACAAATTTAACGATTACTAATTAATACTTCTAAAGATAATTGCATTTAATAATTATGAAATTGATTTTTAAATAATAAATTATTAAATGGTTGAAAAGTAAAAGAAAGTGCCAAAATTAGTGGTCACCCACCAATGTAAACATAGCTTAGGTTGTGATTCAATTTTCGCTTATTTTTTCTTGAAAAGTTGCCTTTTTTTTTTTGCTATTACTTTGCCTTTTGATATCATTGCCATAACAGTGGGGTCAAAGTGAATAAGATTAACAACAAGGATGGTTTCTGATTGGTTTGAGTTTGGGCTTCAAATGTCAAAAGTGCCTAGAGGTCCCAGGTTCAAATCCAAGGAGGAATAAAAATCCTCTTGTGGCCACAGAGGTTCAAATGCGGTGATTATGGACTATCTGCAAAACATGTGGTTGTCTTGGAATTAGTCAGCTCGCATAGTGGGTTAGATATCTAAGTTTATAAAAAAAAATGCAAAAGATTAACTACAAGGGTGGTTTCTGATTGGTTTGAACTTTGACTCCAAAGGTCAAAAGTGTCTGGAGGTCCCAGGTTCAAATCCAAGGAGAAATAAAAATCCTTTTATGGCTACGGAAGTTCAAATGCGATGACTCCCAACTACCTTTAAAGCAGGTGGTTGACCTAGATTAGTTGACTTGCATAACGGATTGAATATCTAGGTTAATAAAAAAATGGAAAAGTTTTTTATTGCATGGGCAAAAGTGAGAAAAGGGAATAGTTAGTAAACAACTACCATTCATCTTTCTTTTTCTTTTTCTTTTTTCCACTTTAGCCCTTTCCTTTTCCCCTACTTTATACATATTATATGTGAAAAGTTTGTCTAAATCAGTAATCTCACTTTTTAATTATAGTATTTTATTTTTGTTATAAATATATGATTTTTTTAACAAAGAAAAAAAAAGAAAGAAACAACAAATACAATTTAAAATTTTTGCAATTAGAAAAAAAAACTATTTCTTTTTGTTGTATTATTTACAGAAATAATTCATCAGTAAGGGGTCGTTTACCTAAACGCTTACCCGGTAAGCATTTATCGGTAAAATTCAACACTATCATTTACTTACCGGGTAAGATTTTATTCATCAAAACGTATCGTATGGAACAATTTATTCCAGTAAACACTAACCATGGTAAGAGTCATTGTCATTACTTACCGGGTAAGACTCTCGATTTTTGTCTTTGCTCTTACCTGGTAAGACTCTTAATTCTTTGTCATATTCATCTGGTAATGTAATGTGACTTGGTAAACGCTTACTCGGGTAAGTGTTTGGTAAACGGCACATAAGTAAATATTGCTATTGTCCTATATAAAGGTTAATAGTCATGTTAAATCAGTTGTCATTTTTATTGTTTTTGGACAATAAGTTCCGATGATTGTGATGGAAGGAATATTTGGTCGATCTTTTTTTTTTTCATTTTTTGGTAATGATCATAAATTTGTCATCGACTCAACTCAATAATTCAAGGTTATATTTGTTTCTTGTATATTTTTGCAATTCTCTCTCTCTCTCTCCATACCTCTAACTTCTGATCAACCATTGTCGGCACCCTCAAACTTCGACGAACACTGGCGTATACAAGACTCCCACCACTACACGCTTTTCTCCTTTTATATTGAATTCCCGATCAACCACCATCGTTGCTGTCACACACCAACAAACACCAGCGTACTTAAGCCTTCATATGGTTTTTTCCACTCTCGATCTCGTTACCAATCAGCCGTTAACCATGGCGTCACCTAGATCTCTATGTGGATCTCGATGATGCACCGTAACCTGAATCTATATATATCAATATTTTGATATATATTTATTTAAACTATAAGGGTACTCATGCAATGCAGCGAGATACATCTTAATTTTAATGTTTTGTTTTATATTTTGGGTATATCGATGTTATAATACGATTTTATGTGGTTTTGAGAAAAAAAAAAAGTTTTTATTTTTAAATAAAATATAAATGTGAAGATATTATAAAAAAATTTAAAAAATAATCGATATTATTATCAAATTAACTATTTAAAAGTTCTCGTTTTTGTGTAATTTTTTAATTTAATTTTTTATTATAATTTAATTGAAGTTTAATAACGAACTAATTTATTTTTCGTTTAAAAAAATATTTTTTTAAGATGATAACTAAGTATTATGTTAGATTTCAATAATTATTCTAATTATATTTTAGATTTTTATAATTAAAATGAGATGTTTATCCTTTATTTGATTATGTTTATCTGYAGTTAGTTACACGAATTCAAACATGAAACTTTAATAAGTTGTACTTACGCACAATTACTTGTTATCTTGAATTTTAAGTAATATGCATCAATAAACAATACTTCATGCATAAAAAAATAGTTTTCAAGAGTTTTCGTCAAATGCTTTATAATACAGTATAGATACAGATACCAACACTGAAACAAAGAAGTAATCGAATTTTTTTTTTTCATAAATCACGATCCTAAAATATTCGTCGACAATATTTTGTTTAAATATAAAATATTTAAAAATAATATTTCAAATGTGTTCCCAATAACTTCTTTTCCCACTTTCTTGTTGACATATGACCATAAGGTCCAAACCAAATTGTTCATACTTGGAAAGGATGACCAAACAAGTAAAAGCCAAATATGTCTCCATACACTAATTTATACTTTAGTCCATTTACTTTTCTAAATGACATTTTGGTCCCTTTGAACCGTTTTTTGTCGAGACGACGTAGAATTAATACGAATCACACAGAACATTAAAACTTTAAGTGTCGTGTTTATTTAAAACAAGACTTAAAAATCTTCAATTGACATGGTCCACATGGACTTGAAATAGCAGTTGTTCAATAATACAGCAAGCAAAGTCGAGGTGATATATTTTTGACGTAACAAAATCCATCAATTGGAACCAAACCATGTTAGCTCATAAATGATAAACGTTACACGTTTAACAACCAAGAACGGAAATTTTGAGTGGTAAAAAGCCATCAGTTGAGTTTGGGTTCGGATTTATTGACGCCCACAAATTGATTCACAGATCAGACTAAAGATTTTACTTTTTTTAACGACTCTGATCAGATACAAACCTAATTTTTAATAAAATATATAATTTTAATTAAAAAAATAATGAGAATAAAAGCTAGTCCATTAGTCACACCACCAAACCCACCAAATAAGTTCCCATCTAAATGGATACATTTTAGTAGGCGACACGTTTGGGGTCCACCCATTATCCTCTCTTCTTCACTCCTCATCGACACGTCATCATAAAAGTTTTTTTTGACTCATAATTAAAATTTTAGATTAAAATATTAGACATGTTTATCGGTTGTTGGTCGGTTCGATTCGATCGGATTTAGTCGGTTTTGAACTATCATCCAATAACCGACCGATCCAAATTGGATGTTGAAATTTTCAATCATATCTAATCTAATTACAATTGGATATCCAATTATGGTCGCTCCGTTCTTAATTAGATCAGTTGACTTTCTGCACACCCTTACCAGATATTGTTCGTTTTGTCTATATCGAAACTCACAAATTTAAAAATATTTGATAGAATAGGTATTCAATCCCTTGTAAAGGCAATCTTAGCCCCCATCGTCCTCACTGGTACACCAGTCCGGTTCCCGACTATGATACAATTTATAACATCTCAAGTCAACTGTTTCAAATATTGTCTGCTTTATCCACACCTTGACTCGCATTAACTCATGTCTAACAAAGGAGGTATCGAGTCCTTATAAGACAACCTTAATTCCCTTCTTCAACCGACAATCTTAAACTTTGTTTGACAGACTAGCTGATAAACTGACTGTTATATGATAAACTATGTATTAGCTGATAATGATTAGTTTCTAATTGTTTTTGAAACAAGTATTTACCAAATTAAATTGATGATGAATTATATGTTTATGTTTTAATAATTAACCCAAATCTATTAAAATCATATCTCATTTTTGCAAAAAAAAAAAAAAAAAAAGTATTATATAATTTTTTTTTATAAAAGCACATCGATATTACATTATGCTAAAACGATTGATTATTGTCATCAATAAATTAATTTAATCATCATAATTTCTTAATCAATTACGTTATTTAATTTACAAGTTATTTATATAAATTTCGATAACTCTAATTTTAGAAGTCTAATTTCTTTTGTTTTTTCTGTTAAGAAATGTTTTATACGTTTAAAATAACTAGAAGGGTACTCGTGCAATGCAGCAAAATACATTTTGATTTTAATGTTTCGTTTTATATTTTGGGTGTATCGATGTTATAATACGACTTTATGTGGTTTTGAGAAAAAAAATGTTTTTATTTTTGAATGAAATATAAATTTGAAGATATCATAAAATTTTGAAAATATAAGCAATATTAGTATCAAATTAATTATTTAAAAGTTCTTGTTTTTGTGTAATTTCTTAATTTAAAATTTTATTATAATTTAACTAAAGTTTAAAAATGAATTAATTTATTTTTGGTTTAATAAAATAATTTATTTAAGATAATAATTAAGTATTCTGTTAGAACTTAATGATTATCTTAATTATGTTTTGGATTTTTTATATTTAAAATAAGATGTTTATTCTCTATTTAATTATGTTTATTCGCAGTTAGTTACACGAATTCAAAATTGAAGTTTTAATAAGTTGTACTTATTCATAATTACTTGTAACTTAAATTTTAAATAATATGCATCAATATACATCAATTCATATATACAAAATGATTTTTAAGAGTTTTTATCAAATATTTTATAATATAATATCGATCAAATATATGTTTAAAGATTGTATTTTTTAACCAATTTTACTTCCATTCTTATATTATCTTGAAAAACAAGCTACAAAATGCAATAAAAAACCAAACTTGATTCGTAAAATTCCTTACAAACAACTGAACTTACCACGCCCGTTGATTAAGCAAGTTTGCCGTGTTTGAGAACCCATTAAAAACCCCAGTTTCTCACTCCTCCGCAATTGTCGCATAGATTTCTAGAGAGGGGGGAATTGAGGAAACTGGAGTTCTAATCATGAGGGAACACGTATATATAAAAGGGAAAAGCAATTGATAGGCTCCCGTGATCTATACGAACCTGTTCAAAGAATTAAGCATGACCCAGTTGAGATTGACCTGAATCTTGATCTGGGTTTGACTCAAATTTAGTAAAAATCAAATCCTTTTTCATGGTTTCGGGTTGTTAAACTGGTGTGGAGAAATGGGTTGTGTGTCTTCAAAGCAGGCAGTTTCTGTGACGCCGGCGGTTGACCATTCGGGTGGTTTCCGGGACAATGCGTTGGTGGGTTCTGGCCGGAATTTAGATGGGAATGGCGGTGATGTGGTGGCGGAATTGGAGAACACGAAGAGCAAGAGCAAGAGCAAGAGCAAGAGCAAGAAGAGGAATAAGAGGAGTGAGTCAGGGCTGAGTGGGACTGGGAGCGAGTTGGGTGAATCAGGGAGAACGAGTTCTACAACCGGTGGTGGCGACTCAGTGAGTTTTAGGTTGGGTAATTTGCAAAAGTATGTGGAAGCAGAGCAGGTGGCTGCTGGTTGGCCTGCTTGGCTCAGTGCAGTTGCTGGTGAAGCCATTCATGGTTGGGTGCCTCTTAGAGCTGAATCCTTTGAGAAATTAGAGAAGGTTCTTACTTCTGTTTTCACCATTTCTAAATTTCATACACACACACACACAAAAGTGTTCCCAAATTAGCCATTTTTCATTCATTAATGAATCATTAAAGTCTATATCTTATGGTTTACCTTTCAATTTCAAACCATCATATTAGGCTTTTGGTTATAGACCAATCAAGGTCTCCCATTATAGGGATCTCACGGGCAATCTATACTCGTCTAGCCCCCTATCGACACCCTGCCCATCTAACCTCTGTGGGAGGGGGCGTGTTGAAGACTTGGATAATCTCAAGGGGCTCTTTTGGAGAGGAATCTGGTCCATATATTCTAAAAGTCTTCATTTTGCACAAATTGTAGGAATATAATACAAAAACAACCATTGCTTAATGAACTGGTGATATTGAATTTGGTTGAATAGGTTGGACAAGGCACATACAGCAGCGTTTTTCGTGCTCGTGAACTAGAAACCGGGAGGATAGTTGCCTTGAAGAAGGTTCGTTTCGACAATTTTGAACCTGAAAGTGTTCGGTTTATGGCTAGAGAAATAGTGATTCTCCGAAGGCTTGATCATCCAAACGTAATGAAGCTAGATGGGATCATAACTTCTCGGTTATCATGTAGCATATACCTTGTCTTTGAGTACATGGAACACGACATTTCAGGATTGCTTTCTTGCCCAGATATCAAATTCACTGAATCTCAGGTTTGTTGCACAAATCATATGTTCTTTTAAGAATTTTAAATATGAATAAAGGTTGAAACGTCTGAATCATGAAACAGATTAAATGCTACATGAAGCAGTTGTTATCTGGGCTCGAGCACTGTCATTCTCGTGGTGTAATGCATCGAGACATTAAAGGGGCTAATCTTCTTGTAAATAATGAAGGGGTCATGAAAATAGCTGATTTCGGGTTGGCCAATTTCTGTAATCCTTCTGGTGGTGAAAGAAAACAGCCATTAACTAGCAGAGTTGTAACGTTATGGTATCGACCGCCTGAACTTTTACTGGGTTCAACGGATTATGAAGCTTCCGTGGATCTATGGAGTATTGGGTGTGTGTTTGCAGAGCTTCTTCTTGGTTCACCTATTCTTCAAGGAAGAACAGAGGTATTTTCTTCACTCCCTTTGACTTTTGCAAGTCAAACCAACTACTTTTCAACCTCAAAATTAACAACCATTTTCATTTCAAGGAAAAAACATGATAGATACTTAGACAGAGTAAAATATATAAACATGGATCAAGTAAAAAGTTGTTGAAAAAAATGGAGAATTTGTGACATTTTTGCGTTCAAAAAGCGTTACGTTTGACTCTTAAGAAAGTCAAATGAACGAAACAGTCTCTTTTTTAGTTTGATAGTGATATAAAAGATGTCTGCAGGTGGAACAACTGCACAAAATCTTTAAGCTTTGTGGTTCTCCGCCGGAGGACTACTGGAAAAAGTCGAAACTTCCTCATGCCACATTGTTTAAACCACAGCATCCGTACGAAAGTTGCTTATGGGAAACTTTCAAAAACTTGCCTAAATGTTCAGTGGATCTTATCGAAACTTTGCTCTCCGTGGAACCATATAAGCGCGGGACTGCCTCTTCTGCGCTCGCAACCGAGGTACTAAAGTCAAATGAGCGTTTAGTTGATCGATTTCATCGTTATGCAAATGCTTTGCTCTGGGCTAAGACTTGTTTTGATGATTTTGCAACGATCTTTGATATCTACAGTATTTTAAGACGAAGCCTTACGCATGTGATCCATCAAGTTTACCGAAATACCCACCAAACAAAGAGATCGATGCCAAACATCGTGAAGACTCAAGAAGGTATTTAGATGGATTCTCTTACAAATCCGTTATCTTGATTTCAATCTGTCATCATGTGGGTGTGATGTGAACCGAAAATGGAACAGAACCCTTTCTGTATTCGATCCAAATTACGTTCAATTTAGAAAACGTTCGTGTTTTTTATAGGAAAAAGCCGGTTGGGAGGACTCGTGGACCTGAAATGTCAAGAAGGTTAGCCAGAAAACAGAATGGCATGACTAAATTGGCACCAGAAGAGGTCTGTATATATATATATGCATGAAATATGGTCTTTTTTACCCTTTGCATCTGGTCTTATTGTTAAAGTTGAACATTTTTACAGAGTTTACCACCGGCTAAAAGTCAAATTCGGCATAAAATCAACGGAAATAGTTTAGATAATCAGAAAGAAGGAGATATAATCTTGGGCTTTGAGCTACGTAAGCCGTCTGCAAACACAGCAGACGATGGTTCACATGCAAAACATGCGTCTCAAGGAGACATTCCGTATTCTGGTCCGTTACAAGTTCCGGGTTCGAGTGGTTTTGCGTGGGCCAGAAGGCGGTTAGATGATTCTTTATCTATAAGATCACGCAGCAGGTCTAGTTCAAGAAGCCTCATTTCTGAACCTTCAAAACACTTCGAGTCCAAATGTAACGAAAATCTTGAGAGGATTGATTCAAGGGGTCGGGAGTCCAATGAGATGGGGACACGTGGGTTGGTCGTTAAGAACTGGAGCCAGTTAGAGCGGCCGGATTCATTTGATGCAGGGTCAGATGGGTTTGTGAAGAGAATCAATATGGTAAGTCCATAAATTTCATACGGTTTCATTTGTTGCATTCATCGCTATGAAATTTGAACGTTTTGAATGTTGTGTTTGCGATAGATTTATCAAGATCAAGAAGAGAAGGTCGAGTTTTCAGGACCTTTATTATCTCAATCGCACCGAATTGATGAACTTCTAGAGAGGCATGAACGCCAGGTTCGCCAAGCGGTTCGAAGATCATGGTTCCAAAGAGGTACGAATTCGTGCAGTGTCATCCTTTAGAGTGCGTTTGGTATGAGACTGGACTATATGAGCGAGAGTCAGTTAAGGCGGGCGAAAGAATCGTCTAAAACCAGTTTTAGGGTTTTAATTTGACATGGGTAGTTTAGTAATTTACCAATCATGTCTCATCTCCCTAATTTTTGTTCCACCTAGATGGAACAAAAAAAAACATTTTTGTCCCACTTAGTTGCCAAACATGGGATAAGTTTAGTTATGTCCTGTCTCTGTATCAAATGCACCCTTATGACCAATTTTGAGAGGCTTAATATCCAACTGTAATCATCTTGTTTGTGCAGGGAAGAAAGCCGGGTAGCGAATTGGAGACATTTGTCGACACTAGTTAACCCATGTTGCGGAAACATGAACCCGGTTGGGGGATGGTTAAGGGACCAAGATGGGTGACGGGTTAGCCGTTTGTGGTCAAGTAAACTTGATGGTTGGGCTAACCAAGAGGGTTGGGTTCATGGGTCATAATGTATAATTAATTTAAAGGTGGTTTGGGTATTTAATGTAGGCTCACCTTCCATATCTACCCAATTATTTTTTTCTATATAATAGATGTTGGAGTAAATTATTGTGTTTAGGAGGGAAGACCATCTTCTTTTAATACATAGTATAAATGCACAATGATCCAATTTCAAGGTGGATGATGGACTTGATGACGTGGTTTCTCATTAAAAAACGAATATTTTATTCTTTAATTTACTACTGGATTGGTACTCGGACAATGTAGCGAGATACATCTCATTTTAATGTTTTCATTTTGTTTTGTTTCAGTCGATGTTATAATACGGTTTTATGTGATTTTGAGAAAACGATGATGTTTTTAAGTTTTGAATAAAATATAAATATGAAAATGTCATAAAAAACAGAAAAAAAAATATTGATATTGGTACCGAACTAACTATTTAAAATTTCTAGTTTTTTTTCTGTACTTCTTTAATTTATTTTGTTATTTTTGGTTTGATAATAGATTTTATAAAGATAATAATTAAGTATTTTATTAGAACTCAATGATTATCCTAATTATATTTTATATTTTTTATATTTAAAATGAGATGTTTATTCTCTCTTTGATTATATTTATCTACAGTTAGTTACATGAAATTTTAATAAGTTATACTTATGCACAATTTATTTGTAATCTTGAATTTTAAGTAATATGCATCAATAAACAGTATTTCATGATTAAAAAGTGGTTTTTATGAGTTTTTTGTCAAATGCTTTATAATATAGTATATATAATAGATTTTTTATATTGGTTTTTAAAATAAAAATGATATAATATGTTAATTAATAGAATTTCAATTTGATTTATTTTATGTATATAATATTATAAACT